ATAGCTGAAAATCGAGGCTTGTACTTAGTTATTTTTACACCTCGGTAGAAAATTGATGTTTTTTTTTTAAATAATAAAGAATAGTGTGCCTTAACTTTATACCTAAATTAGGGCCTCAAAATCGAGAAATAAGTTAAAAAATTATAATAAATTATAAATAATAAATATATTGTATGCTAATTATATAGGAAGATCACTAGTAACAATTATATATATATATATATATATATATATATATATATATATATATATATATATATATATATATATATATATATATATATATATATATATATATATATATATATATATATATATATATATATATATATAAAATTTGTATTTAATTTATATTTAAGACGATCCATCCTATAATAAATTCAAATTTTCATCTTAATAAAAAGCCAATTTGTATTAAAATAACTACAAAAAATCATATATGCATATATTTTGAAATTTAAAAAGTTTTTTTATTAATATATAAAAATTATATTTAAAAAGACCCAACCTATAATAAATTCATTTATTATTAAATTTATATGATAAAATATAATTTATTATTATTTGTGTATAAACTTTATATTTTATTTTATAGAAAAATATATATATATTATTAAATTTTATTTTTTATAATAATAAATTAAAACTTAGTAAATTCAATATTATTTTTTTATTAAGACAACATAATTAAATAGATAACAAATTAAATTATTAAATTTAAGATTCTAGAGATAACAAAAGAGTTGGCTAAATGTTAGGTTCTTTTATTCATTGCAGAAAAGCTGCTTTTGTGCCCGGTAAGAAAATACATAATCGCTGGCCTATGAGCTTATAAGAGGGTATAACACTAATAGTGGAGCCCCCAAGTGTGTGATTCAAATGGACCTGTAAAAGGCCTATGGCACTGTGGATTGGGGAGCTTGGTTTTCCCCACCAGTTCATTAGATGGGTTATGCTCACCATCAGGATTGTCTCTTACAGGTTCCACATTAATGGAATGATTACTAAGGTGGTTGAGGCCAAGAGAGGTATTAGACAAGGTGATCTTCTATCACCTTTATTGTTTGTTATCATAATTGAGTACTTACAAAGAGGATTTCAAAAGTTCAAGGATGTGCCTAATTTCAACTACCACTCAAAATGTGAAAAGTTGGGAATCACTCACCTTATGGACAAGTTTGGTGTGTTTTCTAACTCAACTGGGCTTAAGGTCAATCCTACCAAATGTAAAGTCTATTTTGGAAATGTGAATTATGATGTTAAGAAGTAGGTTCAAGAAGCCACTCATTTCAGTGAAGGTAGTCTTCCCTTCAAGTATTTTGGTATTATTTTTAAGAAAAATTGACTAAAGTATTAAAAAAAATGCTATATATGAGAACAAGTTTATTACTGATTCAAATATTTTAAAAATAACGTCAAATCAAAAATAATATTTATATACAGAGAAAAGTAAATTTTTAATTAAAATATGCTTATATCGGTAAACAATGATAAGTACGAGTTTATCATCTCTTTTAAAAATAATCAACTCTTTTGATTAAATAAATTTTTTTTCTTTTATTATAAATGTTCAATAATTTAATATAATATGAAATTGAATTTTGAAAGTTATTAGAATAATTATTATTTTCAAATTTTTATTAGTTAGTATATAATTTTTATTTCTCAATATTTTATTGTTATTAATATTTTTGATAATGCTTATCAACTATAGAAAACAATTTTTGACCAAATCATAATATTAAATTAACGGAGAACACAAAGTTAAAACATTTATAAAAAGAACACAAAATTATTGATCACAATATTAAATGATAAAGGAAATAGATTTACTATTGATTTAAATATTTTTGTAAATAATTTCAAAATAAAAATAATATTTATATATGAAAAAGAAAAAAATTATTGTTGATACAATTATTTTTATATATATAAAAAGGTTAGGCTAAATTATAGTTTTTGTCCCCATATTTTGTCTGAATCACGAAATTTGTTTTCCTATTTTGTCTGATTCACGAAATTTATCCCCCTATTTTAAATTTAAACAATTTTGGTTCCTCTATTTTAACATTAAACAATTTTAGTCTCCCTCTAAAAATTTTCATAGAAAATCGATGAAAAATTTGTTTTTAACTTATATTTTTATCTACAAAATTCAATAATAAATTTATAGATAATTATTTGTTATATTTTACATGTAAAATGTCATTTAAAAAATGAAAAATATCGTTAATTTTAAGTTCAAAAATATGAGACAGTGAACTGAAACTGTTTAAATTTAGAATAGAGGAACCAAAAATATTTTTAAAATATGGAGACTAATTTCGTGAGTCAAGTAAAATAAGAGGGCCAAAATTGTAATTAAGTCAAAAAATTATAAATTTTAATTTATTATCTCTTAAAAATAATTAAAAAAATTTTTTTAAACAATTTTATCTTTTACTTTATTATTATTATATTTTAAAAACGAATTCGCATACCATGCTAGTACCTGTCCGTTGACACGAGTATTTTATTAGTTAATAATACACTGACTGTTCTAGACAAATTCTGCAAAGGATTGTTCTTTGTTTTTGTTTCCTTTTCTTTAGTTCATTTACCATATATACTAGTTTCTTTAGTTCATTTAACATTTCATTAATAATTAATATTTAATTAATACTAAGTAATATATAATTAATATTTTATTACTAATTAATGTTAACTAATAATATATATTTTTGATGCAAATTAATAAACAAAAGAAATGTACAAAGTGGAATATTCAAATGTCAGAGGAATCTAATTTTTTTTAAAGAAGGATTTTTTAAATTCCGTGCATATGGCAGGGATAATATAGCTATTAACCCTAAATTTTAATACTATTTACAATTAAATATTTAATAATTTATCATACAACCGTATTATTTATTATCAAATTTTTACAAATAACTATATTTTATTATTATTTGTGAAAGTGGATCTTCAACAACTATTTTGTCAGTATAAAATTCACATTTCATTTTTCAGTATTTTTACATTTTCACATATCTATCTATTTTTTAACTCTTTATTATCGAATCTCTCCCTCTTCACATATATAAAATTTAAGAAAGAAATAAAAAAATTTATTCATATTAAAAAGTATATTTCTAAACATATCTTTTAAAAATTTTATATTATAAATTCATTGAAGATAAAAATATATTATTTTAAGTGATAGGTATATTATTTGCAATGTTTAATAAGATAATTTTTCTAGTTGGATAATGTTTTTCTAGATAAACTTTTATGAGAACGCTTTGTTCATTTTTGTTATATTGCATTATAAAAGTTAACAGAATTTATTTTTCAAAATTATATTATTATATTTAACATAAGTTAATAAAAATGATACATCTGCAAATTGTAGAATAATATAAAACATTTTTTTTACTTGAATATGTTTGAGGAAATATTAGAATGTACTAGTTCTTATCAATAACTTAATTTTTAAAAATTTAAAAGATCAATATTATTTTTAGAAGAAAATGTCAAAGTTTAACAGGGAGATAAATTTATTAAATTAACCTACAACTTACGAGAAATTTTAAATTTTAATAGATAATAATGTAAGAATGTTGCATATATTATTGAGTTCTAATCCTTTAAAATTAAATATTATTTTAAGTATTTATAAGAAATATTACAATAAGACTATATGAGTGTAAATTTGTTTATTCATATAAAAAAGTGCATTTTTAAATAATATTTTTTTATGTTTCATTATTACAAATTAGTTTTAGAAATTTATGGAAAAAAGTTATGGAAAATGACATTATAAACGACGTGTCTATGGTTCATTTTTAGATGGCATCATTTTTTAAAAATATTTTTGTACTAATATAAACAATTTGATGATAAAATTAACAACTTAAAAAATAAAATAAGAAAATAGTCAAAATATCATCAAAAGATACGTTTGAATATTCATATCTTCAAAATAAATAACAGTACCTATTTATATAAAATATTTAAATTTGAGGAAATATCACAATGTAGTTATTATCAAATATTTTATTTATATACAAATCAAAAGTTCATTATTTATTTCAAGAAGAAAATATTAATCTATGCAATATATAAAGGAAATATTTTTTTTATTGGAGTTTATTTTTTAATACCATTTTTATTTTTATTTTATTGTGTAATTTACTTAATAACTTTTTATTATTAACTTTCACATAATTTATTATTATTAATTTTTACATAATTTCTTATTATTAACTTCTATATATTATTATTTTTTTAATTTTATTTTAACAAAAAATATTATTTATATTTTTATAGACATTAAAAAAGTGAATAGACGGATACGACTGTACGTCTGAACGCTGGTGTTTAGAAAAGAGAAAACTGTACTGACTCAAAAACTTGGGAGAAATTATTAACTTTAATAACTATTAATGTAAAAATATTGCATATTATTATTTGGTTGGTTCAATTGCTTTAAAACTAAATATTATTTAAATTATTTAATTATAAAATCATACTATATAATAAGAATAAGAAATAGTCTATTTTTTTTTACTTAAAAAAATTTATTTCTAAATTTATTTATTTTCTATTTTTTTAATCATAAATTGTTTTTAGATAGTATTTTTTTAAAAAAAGTAATATGTATATTCAATACATTTAACATATAATATTTTTTATATTTAGAATTCTTAACGGCATACCCTTATTTTTATCATAAAAATGTTAATATTTAACAATGAGACGACTATATTAATTTTATAAGATTTGATTGCATTAAACTTATGTCTTGACGATGGCATGTAATAGGAAATATCACAACGTATTTATTTTTTCTATTTAATTATAATAAATTATTTTCAGAAAAGTTATTATTTTATGTGATTTCAAAATCAAGTGATAAAAGATTTGATTCAAACCATGGACCAAAATATCTATAAAAGAGACAATACTAAATGATCTTACAACATTGATTCATTTTATTTTAAAAGATAATTGAAAAAAAAATGATGAGTATCATATTCTTTTTCATGTGTTTGGTGGCTAGTATTACTGGCCATAGGGGCTTGGAGATAGAGAAAGAGTTAAAAGTTATCAATAAAACTCCTATCAAGACTATTCATGTATTTTAAACTCTAAGTGTATTATTATTATTATTATTTTTAGAACTATATCTTGTTACAGTTTTAATAATTTGCTTTCGTATGGCTATGGTTTTTACAGACAAAATTTGGTTACATTATTGATTGTGTTGATATTAATAAGCAACCAGCCTTTGATCATCCATTGCTTATGAATCATAAGTTGCAGGTATACACTCAATTATTTCTAATCATAACAACATAAATACATTTTAGTTTTTTTTCTTCAAATGTTTCTTATTATTTTTATTCAATAGAAAAAACCCAGCTTTTTAAATAGCTTCAAGAAAAATAATGGAAAGAATTCATCAACTACGACTACACTCGGGTTTCACATAGAGCGATGTCCAGTTGGAACTATTCCTATTAGGAGAACAACATCTGATGATTTATTTCGAGGAAAATTATATTTTGACAATATTTTATCTGTAGAGACTCCGGGTAAACATGTAAGATTTTCTTTTGTATTTATTAAATTTAAATTTTTCAATCACTTTAAAATTTTTTTAACTATAAAATAATTAAACCCATATATTATATTTTTAGGTTGCCGAAGTAACTCTTACACCTTCGACTTACTATGGAGTTGGTGGAACAAGTAGTGTTTATAATGTAAAAGTCGAGAAAGGTCAATCAAGTGCAGCAGTGATATGGGTTAAAAGTGGATCTTCAGACAGCACAAATTATATCGGCATTGGATGGCATGTAAGCTTTATTTCACATGCGCACACGCGCGCACATAGATAGACACACACTTGTGTATACGATTTAAAATTTTTATATTGTGCTTTGGTATTAGGTGGCTCCAGAATTATACAATGATGATGGAACTCATTTATATGTAGTATGGACGGTAAGAGATTATTTTCATGTTTTCTTTCAAAAAATATTTGATTTTGTGTTATTATAAATAATAAGTTTTCTTTCTTCTATATGTAATGTGATGTTAAAAAATGATAGACAGATAATTTCAAGACTGGCTGTTACAATTTACAATGTCCGGGTTTTGTTCAAACTAACAGAGATGCACACCTTGGTGGACGATTTGATAAAACGTCCACCCAAAATGGAGAGATGGTTGAAATTGAAATATCTATATATCAGGTCATCTCTAAACTATTAAATTTAAGGAATTATAAATAATAATTTTTTATATAATGTGTAAAGGCTATATATTATTTATTTACAAATGCAATATATTATGGTGGCAGGATCCTAATACAAAAAATTGGTGGATATACAATTCACAAAAGTTGTTGGGATATTTTCCATCATCTATATTCTCCAACTTGAACTCTGCTAGTGAAGTAGGGTGGACTGGTCAGACAAGAGCTCCTGTGAATGCTCCTAGTCCTCCAATGGGTTCAGGATCATATCCTGATAGAAATATCCTCCATGCAAGTTATTTTACACATATTTCATATCAAGATGATTCTAGAACGAACCGTGAACCTAATAAGGAATCGACAAGAACATTCTCTGATGCACCTAATTGCTATCGTGCTGAATATTATGGAGATGAAGGGAGTGAATTTGGATATACTCTTCAATTTGGAGGACCTGGGGGTAATTGTGGTAATTAATCATGTAATTATAATTTATTTTTAAAACTTAAATATAAATAAATTGAATGCTAAGGTTGAGCTCTGAACCAACAACTTATATTCATCTAACTTAAATTATTTCAGCTATCCCTTCCACCAAAATATAAATAAAATTTTATTTGCATCAATGTTTAGAACACTTAATTTTATAATACTGTTTATTTTTAGCTCAAATTTTATTTAAATTGTGTTATTTAGTTTTCCAAAGTTGTGTTATTTTTTAGCCTAAATAACAATGGTGTGGAAACATAAAATTGTTTATTTATATAGGAAAATTAAGTGAAAGTTCTTAAATTTATAAGAGATTAATTACTATGTATTTCATTTATATTTTATAAATGATTAAAACAAAAATCAACTATTCCTAACATCCAATGTCTATGATTAAATGATTGAGTAAAATCTTTTTATATTGATAATTTGTTTCAATTAAATTCAATTCTGTTGTGAATCGGATACCTTTAAACAAAGTATAAACAGTTTCTTATACAAAAAGAAACAACTAGAATTGGTTATTTAACTGTTCTTCTTTCCTTTCTCTTAGAACAAGATTACAAGTATACAAGAATAACAAAATAACCTCTCTCTCTTTTGAAATTAGGATTTTATCTTCCTATTTTTTCTTATGAAAAGAATGAGAAACTAGTATCCTAATTATAAGAAAAATAACACACTAACCTAATGGGTTTTTTAACAATTACTCATTATAAGCTAACTTAGGGTACAAGCTAACTTAAACAATTGGGCTTACAAGTTAGACCAAATTCAACATGCTAAAACACTAGCAATATTAACTAATGCATGTTAGAACAAACTTCGACTACAATACATACGCATTACTTGCGAACAGACTTCGACCATACTAGAGTTCGATCCAACATTTCACAAATCTCCACCTTGGATCTAACTCTATAATATCAAGAAACTAGCTTTCTTCATGCAGCTTTATTAACTGCATACAGTGGAAAAACTTGGAACTGGGAAACGTTGATCTGTCGAAACCTTTAGCACTTGGACTTCTCCACGCTCGATTACCCCTCTGATGAAATGCAGCCTCACATCAATGTGCTTGGTTCGCTCACGATAGGCTGAATTCTTCGACAGGTGTATTGCACTCTGACTATCACATTTAACAATGATAACTCGACCTTGAAGTTTTAGCTCCTTTGCAAAACCTTCAAGCCACAATGCTTCCTTCACAGCTTCAGTTAGAGAAATATACTCCGCTTCAATGGTTGATAAGGCAACGACCTTCTGAAGTGTTTCTTTCCAACTGATTGTTGTCCCAAACATAGTGAACACATATCTATAGATAGATTTTCTAGAATCCATACAACCTGAATAATCAGAGTCGACATATCCTTCGATTGCTGCTTTACTATCTTCACCCAAGGCTCCACCATAAATTAGGACTCTATTCAGAGACCCATTTATGTACCTTAAAATCCACTTCAATGCTTGCCAGTGAGCCTTTCCAAGATTCGCCATGTACCTGCTTACAAGACTTACTGCATATGCTATGTCGGGTCTAGTACAGACCATAACATACATCAAAGAACCTACTATGTTAACATATGGAATGCTATTCATATAAGTTCTTTCAACATCAGTGTTGGGACACAGAACTATACTCAGCTTGAATTGAGGGTTTGTCGGAGTCACATCAGGCTTTGAATTCGACATACCAAACTTTTTGATAACCTTCTGTAGGTATGCCTCTTGAGATAAGCATAATTTCGACTACTTTCTATCTCTCTGGATGTCAATCCCAAAAATTCTAAACGCAACTCCCAGATCCTTCATGTCAAACTCTTTATTGAGTTCAGCCTTCACCCTTATTACCTCTTCGACATTGTTGCTTGCTATTAGAATATCATCCACATATAGCAACAAAATAACAAATGAATTACCCGGTCAGAATCTGAAGTAAACACAGTGGTCGAACTGACTTCTGATGAAACTTATGTGTGCCATGAACTTGTCGAATCTCCTATTCCACTGTCGAGGAGATTATTTCAGTCCATATAAAGATATGTTCAGTTTACACACACAATCTTTCTTCCCCCTTTCGACATACCCTTCAGGTTGCCTCATCAGGATTGTTTCATCTAGATCACCATACAAGAACGCAGTCTTCACATCCATCTGTTCCAGTTCAAGGTCGAACTGGGCCAACATGGAATGCAACATTCGAATGGATCTTTGCTTCACAATAGAAGAGAACACATCATTTAAGTCAATACCTTCTTTCTGGGTGAACCCCCTAGCAACCAATGTTGCCTTGTATCTCTTCGACGCCACTCCTTCAATTCTTTCCTTAACTTTGAAAATCCATTTAAAGCTGACTAACCTAGCTCCAATAGGTTTCTTGATCAGTTCTCAGGTGTTGTTATCATGAATAGATTTCATCTCATCATCCATGGCCTTCAACCATTCAGTCTTTTTTTGACTCCTCATAACTTCCTTATAGTCTCTAGGTTCTTCGTCTAGAACCTCACTTGCAGAGATTAAGGCATAAGCTATAAGATCTGCATATCCAAGTCTCTGAGGTGGCTTGATGACTCTCCTCGACCTGTCTCTTTCTAGCAGGTAGTCATTATCAGTCTCCTCATCTTCGACAACATCTTATGCGTCTTCTTCGACTTCATCTGGGGTAAGCAATTCAGCATCAACATGCTCCACCTCAACAGGAATCTCTTCTTGTTCCAGTTCTTTGTCAGCATCACCAGTTTTCTTGAAAGCCATTTCTGCTTCATTGAAAACTACATCTCGACTAGTGATACACCTCCTGTGACCTGGATCTAGGCACCATAGCCTATAAGCTTTGACTCCTTCAGGGTATCCCATGAACATGCATTTCAGAGCTCTAGGTTCGACCTTGTCTTGCCTAATATGAGCATAGGCCACACAACCAAATATTCTCAGTCTATCGAGACTAGGTGGATGTCCTAACCAAACTTCTTCAGATGTCTTCATTCCCAAGGCAGTCGAGGGACATCTATTTATCAGGTAAGCTGCTGTCGAGACAGCTTCCGCCCAAAACACCTTCTTTAATCCAACACTAACCAACATGCATTTAACCCTTTCAAGGAGTGTTCGATTGAATCTCTCAGCTAAGCCATTTTGTTGAGGAGTACCTGCTACAGTCTTATGCCTTGCAATCCCAGACTCAACACAGTAACTGTTGAACGCTTCTTTGCAGAATTCAAGGCCATTGTCGGTTCTTAACTGTTAGAACACAGATTGGTTCTTAATAATATCTCTTTGTTTTGATGATAACTATTAGGAAATTTTGTATTTAAGAATTATATAGTCTAAAATTTTCTTGAGAGTTTTTACTGCAGATAGTAATGAAATTAACACTCCAGAAGCAAATATGAATGGTATACAAGAAAGTAACTGACTCTGAAGCGCCAGATGCACTCATTAGAAGATTCTGATTGCTGCCAATAGAAGATCCTGAGTGTAGCCTCCAGAAGGATCTGAAGCAAGAAGCTCAAGAAGAATCTGTAGCAAGAAGCTCCAGAAGATTCTGAAGTAGAAGCTCCAGAAGGATCTGAAGCAAGTCAGAAGCATCTGAAGCAAAGAAGAATATTGTATGAAGAGTTTTTCAAAGCATAGTTTCTACAGAAGATTCTGAAAGTACTAAAGCTGTCAGTACTGAAGTTCTGTTTCAAATATGCTATGATATTTAACACGCTGAAAGCACACATGCTGCAGAAGACTCTTATCCAGCATAGTTCTGATCATCATTAGAAGACTCTGACCCAATCAGACTCTGATGAACTTGCTGAAAACTGAAGAAGAAATATTCAAAGAATATATCCGTTGGAGAAAATCAAACGTCTCTTTCCTCATTTATGCTAGACACAAGAACACAGACAAAAATGATTTTTCTGTGCTTTCTTCTTCTAGGAAAGGTCACTTGATGTGAAGACAAAAAGGTTCAGACCTTTTTGGGACACTCTTCTCAACGCTCAGCTCTCCTTGGATCAGCTGCCTATAAAAGGAAGACTCCACCAAATTCTTCAGTTAGACATTTTGCTGAAAAGAAATTGAAACATTCAAGCTCTCATATTCATTCTTAGAATTATTTGTACTTAAACTTAAGAGAAATATCACTGTTGTGATAAAAGCTTTTTAGAAGCATTCTTACTCTTGTATTAGATTTACATTAATTGTAAAGGATTTCCTTAAGAGGATTCAGTTGGAATCAGTAGCTCTTGAGAAGACTAAGAATAGTTGTTCTTAGGTGTTACTATTGTAATCTGTTTGATTAAATAGTGGATTAAGTCCTTGTTGAGAAAGGCAAATCACTCTACGAAGGATGGACTGGAGTAGTTGAGTTCAACAAACCAGGATAAAAATAATTGTGTTTTAGTTCTAAGTTTTTAATCTTTCATACTTATTCAACCCCCCTTCTAAGTATTATCTCACCTTCAGTTGGCATCAGAGCTCCGGTTCTGTGTGTGCTACCACTTAACAGTGTCAGTAAAGATCTAGAGAGAAATGCTTTGATATATATTTAGTTGTTACTATGGCTGATAATACAACATCCAACATTAACAATAAATATGAAGAAAGGGACAGAATCAGCACCAAACCCCCTATGTTTGATGGGGAGAAATTTGATTACTGGAAAGACAGAATTGAAAGTTTTTTTCTTGGATATGATGCTGATCTATAGGATCTAGTCATAGATGGATATGTTCATCCCACAGACGGGAATGGCAAGAAGATAGACAGAAAATCTATTACGGATGCTCAGAAGAAAGATTTTAGAAATCATCACAAGGCTAGAACAATATTATTGAATGCAATTTTTCATACTGAGTATGAAAAAATTACAAACAGGGAAACTGCTTTTGATATGTTTGAATCCTTAAAAATGACTCATGAGGGAAACTCTCAAGTCAAGGAGACAAAGGCTCTGGCTCTGATCCAGAAGTATGAGGCCTTCAAGATGGAAGACTCTGAAT